TAAATTGAACAGACAACTAAAAGTATGGATGTACGTCGTCTCTTTATGGGCAACGGATGAATGGAGTTCCTTAAAGGTTGGTGGATAGATGTCTGATGGACACTCGAGGTGAGGGTTGGAGGGATAGCTGAACGTGGGAGGGGTTAATTGAATAAGAGATGGTCCAGATTGACGATCAGTTTGGCGGTTGAGTGGGGCCGATCTTAGCGCACAGATTGTCGATCGGACCAAGGGACGGAGTGAGTGATGGCCTGAATGCGTGCGGAACCCACATCTTCGGTCCCAGACTGGCCCTTTTTCTGGGCTGGGTCTTCTGGTGGGGCTCTATCTTGATCCGGCCTCCTGCCGTCGAATGCGCCCCTGTCAACGGCACCGACCCGGACGGGGCTCGAGAATACGTGCTTTTGGGAGGCGCAGGTCTCGTTTCAATTAAGCCTAACTTCAGGGCTGTATGGGCCAAGATGCTGCCTGCCCGACCCCCTGCCGAGCAACTTGTTATTCCCTTATCTCGCCATCGTATTAACACCAATCGCTTCAACAGGCAAGTTCGGCTCCTCTCGGGCGGGTTGTGGCGGCCAGCTGGGCCCATCTTTCACTCGTCTCGTCTGCCCACTGGTCAGATTTCAGTCCGATGAATCCGGAAGGCCGTACTCACTCCCCACATCCATCAATCCATCCATCCAACCATCCATCCATCCATCCATCCACTCATCGGTTGTGACAAACGTCTGGCCAACTAGCCGCCATAACTCACCGCAACATAACCCCCACCAGTCTCGTGGGTAAATCCGGCATTTTTGCCATGTCTACTCAAATGATTGTAAGAAAATTCAACTACCAGTTCCCTTATTATCTTAAACGTAGTAAGATGAATATACCGGCAATCAGAAGTCTAAAACCAGATAACTGTAGGCCCAAGATCATCTGCGGAAGAGATCAGTACAGTCCCCCTGTGATGGCAATCTCTTTCCACAGGGAAGCCTTCATTTGAAATTTAACTCGAAGCTATTACTGGTGTGAAGTGCAGTAGTATGATAAATTAAAGCCCCAGTATAATGGTCACCCAGGATGGATTAGATGCTTTACTCTAAATAATGCTTGTGAAACCATCGTGCACGTCTCGATGAGGCGTTTGAGTTGCTCAAGCGGAATGATATTTGTATGCGCCAGAGCACCATCGTATGATTTATATGACCTCCATTACGGACGTCTGGATCCGCGTTGAATTGTTGCTAGGTTGGCTGAAGGGAGGAGCCTCCGCATGCTCATGTCATGCCAGGCTGTTGCGCGATTTGGGAAAAAGGTGGCAGCCGTAAATGTACATATTTGCATAGTCAACCACACTTCACCAATTGTTCTTTCTCCTCTCCACATATGCTCATATACATTTGTCCATTTTTCTTCTTCAGTGTTTCTACTTCCTTTGTTACGTCAATCTGAATTTAACTTATCTAGCAGTCTACAAATCCATGCATCTAGCCTTTTAACTATACATTCAACTGTCGCTCTAACAATCTATCCATTTATCTCTATACTTGCCAATCTATCTATCTATCCATTCATCCATCTATCTATTCATCTATTAATAAATCTATTCAATTAACTTTATTCACTTAGTTATGACTGCTTTT